TACTGGGTGATAACTTTTCCATTATTTCCTGGCTCTTCCCAAGTCAGGGTAATTGTATCCGCTGTTGTTAAATTGGGGAGGTCGTTTATTTTTACTATATACGGTGGCCCTGGATCAATCACAAAAACAAAGAACGCCACAGTTCTTCTCTAATTATTCACCTAATCACTGAAAATCTTGATATAGTTACTGCCAGAGACAAATGATAATCTGCAACTTGGGCAATTAGTGTTTTCTTAATTCAAGAAACATCCGGTCTTATCAAAGACCTGCAAAGTATCCACTCTCGTCATCTCTGGTATATTTTTGAAATTCATTGTTAGTAACACAAGAGTCCGTAAAGAGAAAGCAGCTTGAGGTGACAAGCTAAATAAATTTGAATATTTGGAAGGGCAAATAAACGAAGAGGATAAAAAGCATAAAATGTATAGTGATGTGTAATTCATGTATGCGATATTTAATGGAATTAGAAAAGACATATAAGAATGATAAAATCTGAGACAGCTATTCATGCTATTATCTATAAATCGAAAGTATACTAGTTATTTACGATAAGAGGTGACACTCTTGTCATCCTCCATAATTATAAGTTTTTTAGTTAGAAACAAGGTGAATGGTTTTAAGTGCTCAGTTGTCCTACAAAATAGCATTATGGAATATGCATTCCTCACCTTCAGACTTTGTCTTTAATGTTCTTACAGCAGCATCTCCCTCAAATACAAAATTTCTAGCAAACACTTTCACTGTGTAGTTTGTATATCTGTCCAGATTCCCAAAAGTGTAGCTTGTGCTAACAGGATCAGTAATATTAACACTGCCTTTCTCGGTGTCACCCTTTAGTATAATCACTCGGTATGCTGTGATAAGACTCCCTCCATCATCAGCTGGTGCAGTCCATCTCACTGTTAATGAACTGACTCGAATGTCTCTTTCTGTTGATATGATGGATGCCTGGCTGGGTTTTTCTGTATAGAAAGAAGACAATAATATTTATGTTTAAACTATGCCGACATGGATTTGCCTGCGTCACCTTACTCCTCTTCGCTTCTATTGATGACATCCTTGCTCTTATGAAAGACGTCAAGTAGTTAAATCATCACTGTTTCATAACAAGTAGAGTGTGCAGGAATTCTAATCGGTGAAAGACGAAACAAGTGGATTCGCTTGAAAAAGGCTGATCCTGGATCCTTAGAAATATACTGGACTAGTTTACCTCAGTGATATATTTCATTTATTCCAAAGTTCACGGGGAAAAGGCGGTATAAAAGTTTGCCGGTTACTGTAGGTAGTGTTCTTAAAGTTTCATCGATCCATAATGATTTAAATGACGAAGAACGAAGACAACAAGCAACTGAAAATGAAAAATCAGTCGTTTCTTCTTTTTATCGCAATTTATAGGTCGATGAATATTCACTCGTGGATATGCAGACATGTACCGTGGAATAGACCGTTGATCAGTCAGAATTTGACCTACTAACGATTCCCTTTTAAGAACCTATTTCGTTTGAGGAGGGTAGGAATTAAACATCACATTTAGTTATCTTAAACTTGTCCCGACCATTTAACTTACTTATCTGATTCATCTTCACTATCTTATCATCCGGAGGAACTAAACCATTAGAAGCAGCGCACTTGTAATCACCGAAATCACCGCTGTCTTTCAACAGCACCTGAATTGTACTTTCTTTATTCGTGACACGGAATATTTCATTTCCATCAGGTTTGTACCAGGCGAGTGTCGGTGTAGGAACACCATCTGATTGACACTTTAAGGTCACTGTCTGACCAATCCAGGACGTAAGAGATGAAGCGGTGGCATTCTGAATTTTTGGCGGGTCTACAAATGAGTAGGACTCAAAATCACCAATAATTGCATGAAGAAGTGGCCTTGCAGTCTACGTTAATTTTAAAAATTTCACATATAACGCACTTCCTATTAGTCCAACCTTTATGCAAGCTATTCCAACAAACGTAGACGGCATTATTAAGGAAAAGACAGTCGCCATCGACCCCTTATTCCTAGGCCAACAGGCATTCGGAGCTGCCTGCATCATTCATGTTGCAGCTGTTACGGGAAAAATGAGTGATTTTTCCGTGTCTTTTGGAGAATATTCATTCATTATTCTTTCGTCATTTTAGCGTTCTCAACTCATGCGAGTTTCTTTTGTTGTTATGTTAAAAAGCCACATAGTTTTCACACACACGCGCGCGCGCGCACGTACACGCACACGCGCACACACACACACACACACACACACACACACACACACACTTTATTCAGTTTCCAATTATATTTTACAGAAAAGTGCATGCCCGCCAATAGCAAAGGCCAATCTAGGCGGACCATGCCGGCTTAATAGCCGAATTACAAAAATATATTAAAACAGAAATTAACCACTAAAGAAGGAAGAGAGACAGTTTTGAATGACAACAAGAAAACCCGTTACATTAACCTAATTTCAAATATCAAAGATACAGCTACAGGAGAAGTATTGGCAGGGCTTTACATTGTGTAAAATCTCAGATAAACCTAATATTTTGAATAAAATGTGTTTGATTTTTCTTTTCAAAGCATTTTTGGAAAGATTTCTCAATTCCTGAGGTTTTGCATCCCACACTTCTACTCCTATTCGAGAGAAGGAATTCGCTTGAACGGATAGCCTAGAAGGTTTGGTGTAGAAGTTATCAAAGGCAGAAGAACGTGTATTGCACGAATGAACATTAGATATATCTTAAAAGAGATCTTGAACATTGGACGGAGTTGTTCTGTTTCGAACGTCAAACATTAAATTAGTTAAAGATTCATAATAAATAAATTTTTAGCGGTAAGATATGAGCGTCAACAAATAAAGGAATTGCATGCTCATCATAATTAGAAAAGTAGATAAAGCGAAGAGCTCGTTTCTGCAACTTTAAGAGCTTGTTAATGTAACATTTACAAGCCTGACCTCATACTGTCAGACCGTATGTAAACAAGGAGCTATAAGAGTTTGGCATATATTCAACTTTGCGCCGCAATCCTATTGTTCTGCTTACTTTAATAATTATATGGTCAATATGGTGTTTCCAAGACAAATTTTTATCAATCCTGAAATATTTTACATAATCTTTATGCTCCAGAGCCACCTTCTTGTTCAGTTTGTCATCAAATATCACGATTTCAGGTTGATAAGTAAGTTTCCTTAGGGCAGCGCAAAATACAACGAAATTACTTTTATTATTATTCAAGGTCAGTTTCTTTGCAGTTAACCAATCATATACTTTAGAGTTCTTTATTTACGTAGAGTTCCAACGATTTCAGATTTTTATCAGCAAAAAGGATATTTGTATCACCCGCAAAAAGTAAAAGCTAAGCTTATCTGACGATTCCTGTATGTCATTTAGAAAACAAAAAAAGCAATGGGTCTAGAACAGAACCC